ACTCTAGAGGATCCCCTGGGTGAAAGGTGCATGCACTCGGAAAGTTGCATGCGGGGATTAAATGTGCAGAACAACCGCCATAAAACATAAGCACAAAGGGCGGCATTTATTCTTAGCACCTGCCTTTTATATTTAAAGTTCAAGGCGGAATTACCTTGCTTGTCAAGGTCTATTTCCACAGTCATAATTATGTAAGCCGTTGTACTGTCCCCCAAGGTCATATATCACTTTTATTTCAGCCGAAGCGTTAGAGACCGCTCTAGACTGGCTGCCAAACACAACCAAGCCAATCCGTCGTACTGGCCCCCAAGGTCATATATCACTTTTATTTCAGCCGAAACATTAGAGACCGCTCTAGACCGCCGCCAAACCTAACGGCACAAATTTGCCATCCCCAGTTACTGAGAGATTTCTGTGATACTTACTCAGTCTACTGTCTTCAACAAATCTGCTCAAATTCTTCAACTTATACAATACTACTTACTAGTAACAATACTGACCAAAAGATGATAGATGCCTGCTACGTAAGTAGTGGGTCACACTTTTTTTGTAAATACAAGCTTCAGACCCATCCACTTTCATTGGCTGCGAGGAGCGAACCGCGTAAGTGGTTCGGCGACAAGCAGCCAATAAAAGATCACAAACTTACTCTCATTGTTAATCACCATAGCAGGCTTCAAAGCGCCTGCAGGGGCGCTACAGTGATTATTATTATTTATTTTGCATGAAATACAAGCAAGGTTTTTGTTGACATTGGAACAATGTCAAACTCTAGTCTCAAAACTGGCTGCTGTTTGATTAGTATTGTTAGCCCAGGGTTTTTGTATGAGTGAATGGATAATCTAAATGTGCAAGGTCTTTACCATCCCCCATGAGTTCCGGTGGATTCCGGTGGATTCCAAGTGGAATGTCGGAATTCCATGGAATTCCGACGGAAACTAGTTGGCTGGAGCCTCAGCCATTCTGGTTTCCAATTCCACAGAAATTCCAATGGAATCCAACGGAATCCGGTGGAAATGGTCGGAATCCGGGAGCCTCCCGGAACAGTTTCCATTGGAATCCATTGGAATTCCAACCAGATTCCATGGAATTCCAATGGAAAGTATATTCCAGTCAAATTCCAACAGATTCCGAGAGATTCCAATGAATTCCAATATTTGTTGTTGTTATTATAATATATAAAAAAATAAGTGGATGCATAAGGATTGAACTCTAGGCTCGGGAAATGTCACATGAAGTCCAAGCAGCAATATTTCCACTACACCATATGGCCATTAAAATTCTACAAACATTTATTCTATATAACCCACCTTCACGCCCACCTTCCTAAACGAGTCACGGCGTTTGCCGACGTCACCATCAGCATCTCTGTTTTGCTGTCAACCACAACCACAACCATAACCACAACCACCACCACCGTCGCCGCGACCAGCGCGGTCACCTCGAATCACGCGCACGCCAGCGGACAACGACGACGACGACGACGAGG